GAAGGTTCGATGAGACGATGGTTCGATGGGACGATGGTGCAATTGCGAGCATTAATTTTCCATGTTTTTGCTCTGTGGAGTGTATGTACTCCGTACTGTACGGAGTACTGGACAGCCCTCATTTTTTGGGAGGGGGAATTGTTGCCGCCAATCTACGGCTGTTTGTGTGCGATAGTTGCCTGGGAAGCTGGAGATTGTGCTGATCGTGCTGATCTGGGGAAGCTGAATGAGATGATGATATAATCGTCGATGATGACGATGTGACTGGTGGTTGATTGATAGTTAAGCAAGGAACCCCTCATTGTCGCAAGATATTTAAAACCCATCATGAGCGGAACTATTGCAGAGGTGCTTCAATAATGATAATGTTGGTCAAGAATAGTATAAGTTGAGATAGTATGGTACTGCTCGTGCGAACCATAGATACTTGTTCACTTCATCATTGCAGTTACAGTTATTAATTTTAACTATTCTCAGATCGATCCTGTTTCATCTTGCGCTACCACCACCCACACACATACAATGCGGTAACTTCTCGACCATCCGTCCATTCCACCCATCCATCCATCCATCCATCTATCATTTCCCTGGAAGGATGCTCTGCAAGCCAATGGTTGGAATGGTGGCCGAACTGCCAATCATTCGTTCATGCCTTGGACAGTCCGGTACATGCAGTGTGCGTGCAACCGGGTTAGTCTTTCCTCTGCAGGAAGATGGTTGGTAGTTACAGTATTTAGTACCTCAACATCCCTCCCAGCCCCTAATTTTGTTCGTACTGGCACGACGACCTGGGTGGTTGTTTGTGTTTCTGTTCGAGCTGGGGATAAGGTAAGGAGATGGGGAGGGATTGGGTGGAGTTGAATAATTAATAAGAACCCAGCAATAACTTTAACTGTCATAAGCAAACTCGGTTTCCCTACATCCCTATGTATGAATCGACTGTCAATAAATTAACCGCGATGTAAGCATCCAGCTCTTTCATGTATTGATCGCCTCCCATCCACATGGCAACTTGATACCACCAGTTCTTCCTTCCATATCTCATTGCTGTTGTAAACTCCCAGTATTCAGGACACCAACCTCCCGGACTCCCAATCAAGAAACCCAGATAAATGCCCATTGTCATATCACTAGAATATTGTGTGCTTTAAAATCCCCGTGCGTGAAGGTGACTTGATGTGGATGTTGATCTATTCGCTCTACGCGAATCCATGCTGCATCATATTCAGCTCTTGACTTGAAAACCGTGGGCTTAAGCTGCGGACAGAAGATACTTTGTAAGTAAGCTCTTTTTCATTGCAAATGGGCCCATGATGTGGTTTGGCACTCGGGTGCTGTGGATGGCAGTCCCAAGCACAGAGCAGAATACGATTTTGGTTATAGGGCAATGGTATGCGCCATTGACGCATTGGAATCCAGACACAGCTTCAACTCATGAACCCACGGTTCCTCAACATCAGGATCGAAGGGGGTCACGCGTGTTTTCCATGGTTATCCCCGGCAACCTTGTCATCAGAATTCAGTAGGATGGCCGATTGAATCGCGCTCTGAGATGTTCTCCGCAGCTTAACAACTTGGGAGCAGGTATCCCACCTGCGCGTGCCATCTGCATTGCAGCAACGTCTTCCAGAGATGTTCGCTCTGTCCACTTCATGATGAGTCCAAAGGGCAATTCTGCAACACTTGCAAATGGGATGCCAAACCATGAGCAATAATATGCTGAGAACTTATACAGAGCTTTGTGAATAATAGCCTAGAATTGTAGTGAAATTTTGCTTGGTACTGAGGACACTGGAGGGTGGTTTTAAGAGATGGTTGATAGTTTCATGTGCGGCCATGTAAAATCGGGTTTCAAGATGCGGGGTATCCATGGTGAATCCATCTGGCGAGGCAAGGTTTAATCGTGAGAGCTAGCTTCTCAAATTTGATGTGAGGGTTTGATGGCCCGTAGAGCGAGGGTTTTTTTGCTGGGATAGCGAGCATGAAGCTGTTGATTTGTTGGCACCGTCTCGTTGGGTGCTATCGCCTGCTAAGTTGTGTCAGGCGCCGAATAGCTGAAGGATAACAATGAAGAGCGCTCACAAGTACAGTACATATTCTGTTAGGCTACTGGGGCAAAAGATCTCAATCACCACCAGCGCCATGCTCGTAGTAGAGGGGATGAACCAATCCAAACCCCTATTTCATGTGTTGGCGCCAGACTTCCTATTGCGGACTAGCGATGCCTAACTACAGCAAATAGAATGCAAACCACGTGTGCTGCTTCAGGGTTGTTGGATACGCCTGCAAGCAACATGAATGAACACGAATACGACCAGGATACTCATACCCTTATACCTAGAGGGGCTGAAATGGGATCTCAAATGGGAGGTCAAGTGAACGATAATACCATGGTTCGGATGATGATGATGATGGAATGAATATATGGAAAGACAGGACAAACGAATGGAAATACTTAGACAAAAACTGGAGGGCAACTCGAGCTCTCTATCAGCTCAGCCATCTTGAATGGAATTAACCACTTCAAATGAAAGAAGTCTATTCTCGTGGATGCCCCACCTTATCCGGGCAAGTCCTTTTTCAGGGCCATTAGGCGGACGTCCTCCTTTCGAGTGCAGCGACGTTTTTTCCTTGTCCAGACCTTCGACCTTTCTCTGTGTCGGCCCTGGCGGTCGTCTCATCTGCGAGATCCGAAGCGGTCATTGGATGGTGCATGATCATCTTGAAAGACTTGGGTCACTGCAGATGACAGCATATCAGGCCAACAATAGAATAGAACACTATGCCTCTCAGCTTCAATTGAAGGTCGTGAGGGTGTGAGTGTGTGTGTGTGAGAGTTCAGTCCACGATCTGTGTTCCAGAGGGTTTGTCTTCCTGTTCAACACTTTCATAACCTGCAGTGGCTACTGCTCTTGAGATCTGAAATTGAGGATGATACAACACAATGCTCCAGTGACAGCTTCATTGAACTGTCTTCTTTGCTGCTCGCACGGTAGTTGTCATCTGTATCACTGAAGGAGTGTGCACTCAAGCCACCCCTGTTGGACATGGTCGTGCCATCTTCGACACGCTTTACAGGTTTCCCAGGAAGCCTGCAGCCCTGACTATTGGGGACCTCGCGCCTCAATCATGCACAAGTTTTCCATTGGTGCTTAGCCCATTCTCATACTTAATTGAGCTTAATATGTCTTCTTCGAAGGGTATGCGAGAGGTGACTGGTCATTTAGACATAGATATATAAAAATTAATCATTTTGAAATTCCCATGCTCTATTAAGTATAACGTACTAACTAACGATATATTTCCGTAAAATGAAATTAAAATATATATACAACCAAATCTAATCAAATCTCATCCTCCCACGGTATACTGTCCATCGCTCCGCTCCTCTCCACACACCTCGCCGACGCCTTCGTAGCCCACCTCACCGCCCGCTCCATAACGGGCCCATAACGCTCCCTCCTCTCCTCAACCGTCAGTTCCTCCCCGCCCCGCCCCGCTGCCCTCCTCGCCTCCTTCCACCGTGCAATCTGCACCGAATATCCGCCGACAAACGTATCACCCGCTGCCGTGGTATCAACCACCCTCTCCACTCTTGCCGCCGGCACCTCCCCCACAAACCGTACCCACCCTCCGTCTCCATCTCCATCTCCAATCCCCGCTCCCTGTACACCCCTTCCCGCATCACCAGCACTGTACCACACCCCCTTCGCCCCCAATGTAACAATCACATGCCGCACCCCCAACGCATGGAAATGTCGCGCAACCCTATCCCTCCTCTCACGCGACGTCACCGCCGTCCCCTGGCTCTCCCCCAACATCCCCGCAGGCGCCATACTCTCACACTCCGTCTCATTCATCACCAAATGATCAACAGCCGCATACACATCCGCCGGCAAACCCCCTTCCGGCGCAGGTGCCGGATTAAACACGACCTCCACCTCCGCCCACGCCTCCGCCTCCCCCTTTTCTCCCCTCCCCCGCCTCCCCCTCCACGCCCCCACCCCGCGCAGAATCCCCACAACAGTCTCGACGGGGATCTCCGCCTGCAGCACCAGCACGTCCGGCACCCGCGGCGCGAGCGAGAGCGCCAGCTGCAGCACGTCCGGCGCGCACTGCATGCCCGCGTAGTTGGCGCCGGGGCAGTAGAGGATGCGGTTCTCCCCGCCGGCGGCGCTGTCGACGATGATCACGGCGACGCCGGTATGCGCATCCGCGGTCTGGCGGATGCGGGCCGTGTGGACGCCGGCACCGTGCAGGGTCGGTTGCAGGTGGGTGCGGAAGTAGGTGTCTAGCTGGCCGGTGGCGCCGAGCATTTCGATATGGATTGATGTGGGGTCTGTGGCGGGTGCGGAGGTTGTTGCTGCTGCTGATGCTGATGCTGCTGCTGCTGTTGATGACTGTGTGGTGGTGGTGGGTTTGGGGCGGGAGAGGCGGCCGCAGGCTACAGCTTGGTTGGCACCTTTACCGCCAGCGTGGATGCTGAAGGAGGTTGAGGTGAGAGTTTCGCCGGGGGATGGAAAGCGCGGGGTCACGGAGACCATGTCGACGTTTAGGGAGCCGATGATGCGGATTGCGGGAGCCATTTTCTTGGGTTTCCACTGGATGGAAGATATGATATATCACTAAATATATAGGTTACTGGACTGCTCTTCAAGAGTTGTTAGCAACGCGCCTTTGGAAGCATGGAGGTGGATGGATATCACCAACAGGCTATTTAGAAACGGGGGAGAAAGTACGAGGCAGATACACAATTGAAAGAAGAATTGATCCTTCAAGATGCAATATCCGTAGAGCACATTCTGATCCCGCAATTGATACAAATATGAAGTATCTTTGTATCTTCTCATTGCGCGGAGGAGCTTTTTGTGGAAGGGATGACGTCATAAATTTATACATGTCCCCTTTTCCACCTGACCCTGTGTCGGAACTGGATAAAGTCCGAATATTGACCCAAATACTGAATATCAATGAAATAAATTGAATTGCTTATATTCACTCCAGTAATTACATGATAACCAGGCAGTATTTATAAGAAAGAGAATGCTTGGATATATGATGGGGGGCAGTGCTGGTATACATCAGACCAGTGATCCGGTTTCCGGAATTGAGATAATAGAAGATCCTTGTTTAATCATCAGAATACTAGATATGATATATCACTTCTCACACCCTGCGTTATCTAAACCTTGGCTCCCCAATACTATGTACTGTAAAGTCCTAGGGAGTTGCCAGTTCACATTCATCCTGTTCAGTTCACCTTGATGCAGGTTCTATTAACCATTAACCAGGGTTGGATCTTAACCCTTCCACAGCGGACTTCATTTTATTGTTGATAAATTGATACTACTACTAATAGCTAATGGTCGGATATCATTAATCGTCCAACATTTGAGGAAATGAACAAGAAGAAGGCAAGAAGATAGTACGAAACATCCATGAAGAAGTTTTAATTCAAATTTGCAAAATTGACTGCTGAATGTGTGATATGCGCTATACCAGAGAAGCATTATACAATATACCAACAGCCGATAAAGGGCAGAATAGCTAAGCACCGAAGAAGGAAAAGAAAAAGACCCAGCTATGTCTCGCTAGGTTTTCTGCAAGATACGCTGTTGCATCGCGAAGGAATTTAAGTATTCCCGGCAGTGAGTTGCATTGATTTCACTATTTCAAAGCTTCGACTGTCTCCGCGATTTCTGAACAAATGCCAATGCGGTTTCGATGGCCATATCACTGACCCTGGTTCCTGCCCCAAATTCCTGAGCCAGTGCGTCTTCAAGCGAATGTGCGTGATATACAGCATAATAGCACGAGTGTCGATCAACATTTAGACTCTCTTGCGGATAGGATACAAGCATCCGTGCTAGTTTCATCGCTTCATTCAACGACTGCCCTTTCGGCACCACCCGACTCGCCAACCCGATGTCTAAAGCTTCCTTCGCTGTTACCGCTCTCCCTGTCAATATGATATCCAGGGCCCTCCCCAAACCTATAATTTGCGGCAGCCTGACTGTTCCTCCATCGAGCAGCGGCACCCCTAATTTTCGACAAGATACTTCGAATATCGCGTCTTCATCTACCACCCTCAGGTCTCCCAGAAGACTCAACTCGAGGCCGCCAGCAACAGCGTAACCAGAGACAGCGCAGATCACTGGTTTTCGAATGTGCATTCTAGTTGGGCCGAGTGGCCCTATATTTTCTCCACGCACTGGTTCAAAGTGCCCTCGAGTGATACTGGAATGCTGGGCCATATTCGGTAATTCTCCATGCCAAGTGGCCAGCTGGGTCAGGTCGAAGCCGGATGAAAACGTCCCTCCATTTCCGTGTAAGACGCAGATCTTTTGGGATGCGTCAGCTTCAAAGTCGAGGAATGCCGAGTAGAGTTTCTTCGCTGTTGGAATGTCTATGGCATTTCGTTTCTTTGGCCGGTTCATGGTGATGGTGGTGATGCCTTCACTCCGCTTGATAATCGCGATTGCGTCAGGCTCTGGATCTGCATGCTCCGGCTGGATGGGGAAAGTTGATGTATTGGTTGAGTTGGCCATGATTTCGTTGACCGATATCGCTTCTGTTGAAGATATCTAACCACAACACCGTTCTCGATATTATGAGGTACTCGTGTGGTAATTATGCGAGAGGGCGTCGGGGTCAATGGCATTCGTCGCTTCGTTAAAAGTCTATAGAAGCTGGGAATGGATGGGACGGTACAAGGCAAAGGCTCTTTTGATTGTCTTCTTATATCTTTGATCAACCACACCCGTCCCCTCTCACAAGCCCGCTGTATGTGCTATGTGCACGAACCAACATCACCGACAATGGCAGGGGTAGGACGAAAACTCAAAGAGTTGTCGGGAACCCGACAGCTCCAAGATCACTTGATATCCGACTGGGACAAGAAATCTTGACAGGAAGTACAAGTCGTCTACAGTTAACCATGGCATACGGTGTAACATGTTCCGCGGGCGAAGCTTTTATGCTGTATTTGTGTCTCCTGCCACCACTCTATATCTAAAGCCACTGACTAATATTGTCACATTTTCCCCATTTATACATTTTGGCTACGTTTTAACTCTCTAGACTATTCCTCTAAAACCGCATCTATACTTTCCAGCTCTATAATTACTATGAAATAAGGTTTGCAACAAGGAACAATCTTTCTCACCCTTTTCCATCCCTCTCCTGACAAATATTTTCTACTATTGAGTTTATCGGCTACGTTAGAAAATAGGGGGTATGGAAATCTCTTTGAGAACTGATGTCCCGTATTCGGGGTTTTCGTTTTCTTCGGCCTCTTCCTGTTTCTGGGTCGGCTTCTTCCCAAGAAAACTCACATGCAGATCGCATATGGGCGGACACCAGGGGAGATGACTACTGGCTACGTGTATTCCGGCGGCTTCTGGTTATGGCCTATGCTCCCGAGGGAAGATATTGTTTTCTCTTGTTCTTGAGCGGTCTCGAGAACAATATATACTGTCAATATTGTCTGGGGTTGGTTACGCCGACGTAACTAACAGAACCAATCAAGACGAAACAACAAGATAACCAAAAATATTTAGAATAACTAACGTAGGGAGACTCGGGTACTTAGTGCAGAGTGCATTTACAAGAGAATAGCGAAAATGGACCAGAATTCCCATGCCTGCTGTCTAATTAACCCGTATAACTAATTACCTACAACTAGCTGGTATCCAATGTTTCAATCGCCAACTACACTAACTATATATATGGGTATCTATCTCTCCCTCTCTCTTTCGAATTATAAATATGATATGTACGAGAGAAAATATCACACAAGGACAAGGTAAGTAACTATGACTAACAAAAAACGTGCTCGGACGCCTCGACGACATCGCACAATGTCACATTCAGCGTACGATTGTGTAGCACTGTGATGAGAGAAAAACATGGAGACAATTGCGGAGGTTGCTACACAGAATACGCTCACAGGCCTGCTTTATACGAATACCTAATACATACCCCTTCGACTCGTATAATGCCATAGACAGGGATTGGGCATAAAGCGACATCCCGGGCTTGAAGTCCAAGCCTGAATTCTTTGCGTCCATGAATTCGTTCAGAATGTAAGTAAGGTTATTAGATATCTTAGGATTAATTCCCAAACGATGTTGTCGCGTTCCCTCTAATTATGCCTTGTATGTTAGCTAGGGGCAGCGGAACTGAAACGATGTTGTAGCTCCGAGATAAGGATTGTAGTTATGCATTGAGGGTCTGAGGTCTACTTGTGCAGTGTAGAACAGGCGTCGTATATCTTCGTATATTGTGACGTTTGTTCCCGATAAGCGGGAAGGTATGTGCAATGGATGAGCCATGGGTCAGTTGGTTGGATATCAACTTTTACCTCCATCATGTTATTTTTCGTCCATTGCTGCTCGGGAGGCTGAAGCCGCATCCGAGTCGTATCTGGCCTTAATGGACATTATTTCATAACAGAGGGGGGAGTATATGTTTGTTTTCGCTTTGAGATACTTCGCCAAAGATGTTTCGCCAAAGATGCAAGACCTACGGAGTGCCAGCCGGTTTTGCATCAGCAATCTTCCCGCTGCAATAGCTTTCGTTGCCCAATTTTATTCCGTGCGACCGCAGCTATTCCGATATACCTAAGGATGTCGCATCGCCCGGTGGTTTTTGCCCCGTTTCAAGTATTTTATTATAGGATTTGCCCGTCAACGGAAATGTAGTCTACCGCACCATCAGCAGATGCATGGTTAGTTCCATGCAAGTCGTTTTGGCGGTTGCAAACAATTCGGACTTCACCGGCCTTGCTGTCTTGGTTCCAGAATCGGAATGAAGCTTGAGGTCGTTTTGACTGCTGGCCTTGTGTGTTCCCGTATTGTTTGTAGAGCTGATGCCCGGTATCTCAAACCCTAGATGATGTTTATCATGGGTTTTATTTTAGATCTGTAGGAGCGGTGCATGAACCACGGATTGATTACGTTGAAGTTAGGAGTCTTCATCAGGGTGTATAAATGGACAACGATGTTTGTCCAAGCGTTTTGCAGAAATGCAATGCCCTGTGATGTGATGCGATATGACCACATAATGTTGATAACCGTAACCGCCCTGGAAAAGCAGTAATTTGAAACGGTCCGTCCTGAATCAAGTAGATTCGTAAAAAAATCATTCAACTTCCGACTGGGTCAGATCATAGCTGGTATTGTTAAAAACAATCCGCCTGATAGTAGCAGGGCGCTGCCATGGCGTGGCTAGTTAGGGAGCTCGAACAAAACTGAAAAGTATTGAGGACAATGTTTGCTATAAGAGTGTTGGTCAATGAGAGGAGCGACGTGGAGCGACGTGAGAGCTCCCGGGGATATTTGATATAACTTTCATCAATTTCCTGTGCTAATATGACCGTGAAGGTCCCCAGGCTGGAAATACCTGCGGCGGGTAACGGCGTTGTTAGGACGTTCAAATATATCATTCGAGCTGGACGGCCGGCACGAAAATCACGGGAAATTTGCACCAGTGATTCATCAAGTTGTTTCCGATTGAAATAAGTAAGTTAAATATAAGCTACCGAAGTGAACCAACGGCTCAAAGAGCAGATCCATTCCTAGCTTCCACTCGCCCAAGAACTATAAGAACATGGCACAAAACGTCCCGGTGGACGGGAGGAAACAGCATTTCTCAGAATTGATGGCAATTAGCTATTTAAATCTCCTACTATCGTGATAATTTATTGTATTCGAGGGTACGCAACCCTAAGGGGGGGGATGCTCGCATGCACAACGTATCACAGCATCGTTTTCACACAATGCATTCACGAAGTCGACCAAATTATGTACCCAATTGTATCTTCTCTGAATCGATCACACGTTTGCACCCCTGAGGATTTTCGTTGAACGAGGCCATCTTCGATTGCCCTCCTACGGAGGTGGGATTGGGAACGCTCGGATCTTGAAACCTGATCGTATGGCATTGAGCTGGCAGGATCTTCGAAGTGTCACGACGGATTGAATACTATTGCCGCTGGCAAATGTGACGTTGGAACCCGATGAATACAATGTGGATATCAAATTATTCCTCCCCCTTCCAGTACTGTCCAGGTCTCAAGCTGAAAATCCCTCCGGCATGAATTAGGCAATCCCATACTGATATCACGCCCGGCAGCAGGGTAATTGTGCGAATGACATCTCGCTACTCACAACGGGATGGTATGTTTCGTGTGCCATGGACATCAAGGTTGTTAACTGACAGTTCTCGTCACCCACGACACTGACGATGTTGAGAAGTGAAATGTTTATGAGAACGGCAGAAGGAAAAGAAGGACATTTATCGTCTTTATGTCGACCATTATCCTCGATTGAGAGGTCTCCAAACGTATTTTGCAGTGAATGCCTCAGCAGAGTGCTAAATTGAATTGAGCATTCGATCACAGAGGTTGAGCGCGTATGCTAGCAAATGGAGGCGAAGTTATGTTCTGGATGCATTTGCTTGAAGTAGTTACTAATTAACTAGATGTTGGTTGGGCCAGCGATTGTTCTGATTGCAGTCTCCGCTTCTTTTTCTCACAGGTTTTGGAAACATTTCGATCGTTTCCTTGCTTGCCCATCTTCAGCTTAGTGTCCCTTGCTGACAGGGTAGAATGTCATGGATTTGTTGACATTTGGCCTATCCAAAGCTCTGAATACAAGTCTTCATATTTATATTGGACACAATCTTTTTTTCCAACGGGAACGCCTGAGTAATTGTTCGCTTCCTGCAGCTAGCTTCCACATTTATTCCGAATGGCTTCGGAGCCTGAAAGGATATATCCCGATGCAGGGAACCCGGATCACGAAATATCTCAAGTCAAAGATAAAATTGACCATGACAATGACGGAAATACAGAACCAAATGCAGAGAATGAGGGAAATCCTCCATACATTCGCGGCTGGCGAATGTATCTCTTGACTGCTGGGTGAGTTGCGTTAACGGGAAGAAACAGTTTGGCCAGCGTGGAGAAACAAACTAATCACTCGAGCTATAGCATCTGGCTGAGCCTGTTCCTTTCCACGCTGGAGACTACAATCGTCAGTACTTCGCTGGTTTCTATCAGCGATGCTCTTGGCGGGTTTGGAAAGCGAGATTGGATTGTTACGTCTTATCTTTTGACCTATACTGGTAATATTGTACACTTTTCTTATTACATTCTACCTTTGGTAAATCCTTGCACTTACACTATAGTGGAGGATTCCTCGTGATATACGCCAAGTTGGGAGATGTATTCGGCAGGAAGTCTATGTTCCTACTGGCCTTGTCTTTATTCACTGTCTTCTCGATCCTTTGCGGTGCTACAAATGACGTTGTGGAACTGTAAGCCTGAAATGCCAGGACAGAAGCTTCTCACGACGCTAACCGAGGGTGAACAGCATTATTTTCCGTGCCTTTCAAGGCATGGGGGCATCCGGCATATATTCTATGATTATGGTGATAGCGCCGACCTTAGTTCCCTCGGAAAAATTTGGGAAATATCTTGCGATAATAGCCTCCGTTTTTGCTATCGCGAGTGTGCTCGGTCCCATCCTTGGGGGAGCAATCAGCAACAACTCCGCATGGAGGTGGATATTTCTATTGAAGTATGTGCAAGCACTCTGTCCATTGTAACTGCGGAAGTGGATTTATTTACCAGCTTTTCGCATATAGCGCACCGGCGGGATGCGTTTGCATTGGGATTGTGGCCTTAATTTTGCCATCATCGATTTCATCCCAACCGGACGTGAAGTTCACAAATCATTTGCGGGCCAAGATCTCCGGAGCGGCACTCAGAAGAGTAGACGTTGTTGGTGTGTTTCTACTCCTCGCATCTTCTATTCTGCTCGTTTTCGCCATGGAGGAGGCTGGCACTCGCTATTCCTGGAGTGACGCTGTTATTATATCTACTTTCTGCGTTGGAGGTATCGCTGGTATTCTGTTTGTTTTCTGGGAATTGTTTCTTGAAAAATCGACTTCATTACAGGAGCCTGTTTTCCCACTTCGACTTCTCAAGAGTAGGTTGTTGGCAGCTATGATGGCGTGAGTAAACTTCGTTCCCCCCATACACCTAACTCGTCCCCCCTCAACAGTCATTTCTTAAGTAAGATATGTCCAATATTGACATGTACGAGAATCAAGCACTGCTTTCTTCACCGGCTTCCCATTTGTTGCAATCGTCGTCAATATCCCCCAACGTGCCCAAGCTGTTAGTGGACTTTCCTCCGTAAAAGCAGGCCTGGCCTTACTCCCCTTACTACTCACATCTCCACTTGCCGCATCCGTTTCCGGCATACTCACCACTAACCTCAAAATCCCCCCTTTTTATCTGATACTTCTGGGATCCATTTTGCAATTCATTGGAGTGGGATTAACATGCACGCTGCCAAACCATTCATTTGACGTCTCGCCGCAGCAGTACGGTTACGAAGCACTTATGGGACTTGGGTTTGGGTTGAGTTTGACTACCGTACTAACACTTGCGCCGCTGGTGATAAAGGAGCCTTATTTAGGTACTGTGAATTAGGTGCTCATGTTACGAATATTAGAAAAGCTAATGAGGTTGAAACCGATAGGAGTGGCAATGGGGGCTCTCACACAAGTACGCGTTTTAGCCGGCACGATATCACTAGCAATATGGTACGATGACTGATTGTCCCTGGTATTTTGCTTGCTTTATACGAACCGCCATTGATCCCCTTTTTGACAATGTAGCTCGACAATCCTCAACAACTGTCTCAGACCAAAGATGGCCTCCGTGATCAGTCCCTCTCAACTTCGAGCCATCTCTGACTCCCTCTCTGCAATTGACGATTTAACACCCTCCCAACGGATCGCCGTGCGGCAGGCGTTTGGGGAGGGGTATACTAAGCAAAATATATTCTTAACTGCGTTTTCAGGCGTGTCGGTCTTAGCATCATTGTTTATATGGGAGAAGAAACCGAGGAGGGTGGGAGAACAGCAGCAAGCAGCCAACCTCTAAAAATATACATCTTTCCAGGCAGCTTCTGGAAAAATGAACAGTTAAGGAAACCTGATAATCCGCGTCATAAGATTTGATCTGATGAAATATTTATTGCACTGTTATATTTTAGCGTCGTGTGTCGTGATATTATTTATGTTGTCATATGTGGGTTGTGAAACAAGAAAAGGAGAAAAGTAGAACTCCTCATAAACACCATCTGCATAGCCGTTGACCATCTGTAACTTGCCGAAAAATCCCGAAGCCGCCTTCTTGACTCGTTTTCTTAATCAGTGTAATAAATGTGATGTAACATATCAAATGTATGGAAAATAAAAATAAAAAATAGAAAGAAAAAAAGAAACAGAAATAAATAGAAACAAAGAAAAAATCAAGGACCATGTCGATAAATCTGGGAACCGCCAGATCTAAATTGTATCGTCTCCCGTCGTTGGAGAATAAGCAAGGCCCGATTCAATGCCTGCTCGCTGTAATTTCTTCCATCCACAAATTCCCTCCGCAGCGTAGCCAAGCTCGTACTCCATCCAATCGGTAGTCGCCGTTTCAGCTCGTCTTCAACTTTGCCAACCTCCGCCAGTAACTCTTTGCTGCCTTGGCCCTCACCGTGTGTGACAGCGTCCATGGTAGAGGCGAGGAAGAGTCGGATGGCCTCATCGACATGCTCTTCCGTCGCGATGGGGGAGAGGGTAAGTTTTGCGAGGGATTCGCTGATGCGAATGATGGCTTCGAGCTGGCGGACTGTGATGGGAATTGAGGAGCGGGCGTTGGCATCTAGTTCAGCTTTGTGTACTTGCTTGCGGATCGAGACGAAGTGCGAGGAAAGCTTTTCTGCGGCTTCTGGGGAGAGTCGTGGAGCGCAGCGTCTGAAGCAGTTTGTTAATATTGGGGATTTGCTTGGGTATTAATGACGGGTTGGCTGTTAGTCTATGACTTACGATTTACAGTAGCTGATGTATCTCTTCATTTTTTCAACTGGGATCTCCGCTTCAACCTGTTCTTCAACTCCTCTCCCACCCATGTGAATGCCCATAACATGTCTGGCAACTCTTTCATCACGGCCTTTTTCATGCTCGTCTCTGACAATAAATATCATATCAAATCGGGACAGGATGGTAGTTTGAAAATCGATATTTTCGCCCGGCGTTTTCAAATCATCATATCGTCCGAAGATTGGATTTGCAGCTGCGAGAACGGACGTTCTAGAATTGAGTATAGTGGTAATACCAGCTTTTGCAATGGAAATGGTCTGCTGTTCCATAGCTTCGTGGATGGCGACTCGATCTTCGTCTCTCATCTTGTCAAATTCATCGATACAGACAACGCCACCATCTGCAAGAACCATTGCACCACCCTCGAGATAGAATTCACGGGTTGTGGTGTCCCGCTGGACGGAGGCAGTAAGACCAGCAGCTGACGAGCCTTTGCCAGAAGTGTAGATGGCAATTGGAGACACCTTTTCCACGAATTTCAACAATTGGGACTTAGCGGTACCAGGATCACCTAGTAGCAGCACATTAATATCTCCTCGAAGCTTCATGCCGTCAGGGAGTATTTTCTTCGATCCACCCATGAGGAGACAAGCTATCGCCTTTTTAATATCTTGATTTCCATAAATTGACGGAGCGATGCAATCAGCGAAGACCTGGTAGAGATCTGGACGTCTGCTCATTTCCAAGAATTCCTGCTCCTCTTCATCTGAGAAGACAGAATTGCCTTTGGCAGTGTGGTCTACATCAGTGCTTATTCCAACCGCACGAAGATACGGGTTTCGAATGGCGACGGCGCTTTTAGTTGCGTTTTTGCTGCCCTTGGCTTGATAAATTGAAAACACCCCCATAACAGTACACCTTGAACCAGGGACGACACGATTGGCAAGATATCTATCTGCAGATATGAGGATATGTCGAGGCAGTTCTCCGACAGGCACTTGGTCAGGCGCTTCCTGCAGCTTGAGCACCTGCTGATCAACGAACTGGGATTTCTCGTGCTCTATCACGTACGGATCGAGAGGGCATGGGTCCTGGTCCTTTTCCCTAGGGCGCTTGCATTGCCTTGGGAGAGTGATACCTGAGAATCCGCCTTCGATAATGATATTTTCACGTTCCCCGCAGTTCTTACAGGTTATGTGTAGACGAGTAGCTTTAGATGATATTGTAGACGCTCCTATAACAATACCTGGGATCCGGACCAAATGAGATATATTGGTGGCATTCAGCTCTCGAATCGTGATATGTGATACACTCGAGTGGAGCAGAAGTTGGTGTTCAGGGAGTTCGATATCTCGTTCGGATGGGTACACGATTCTTTGAGTACATTGTTTGAGAGCGGCTTCAAACTGCGAAATTTGTAATGAAAAAGGAAATAAGTCGCCATCCATCAACAAATAGATACGGCACTTACAAGTGGGATTGTGTCTGCCGGGTCTGTGGTCAGCCTGTGGGCTAGTTCTTCGTTGTATGCGATGAGGTGAGCGATATCAACATCGCAATAGTACTTTTTGATCAACACATTCTGTCGAATTTGGTCTCTATAATATACTCGGATTAATTGATGTACATCGCAGCAACGAAAATGCCCTATACTCTACATAGCTGACAGAAACTCAGAGTTTACCTGTAAATGAAAGTATTATCCAGCTGGAAGGCCAAGATGAACTCCCGTAACTGTGCCTGGATTCTTGTGCGTGGTTCCCCCAGCCCATCCGTTTGCGGTTGGAGCACGCTCAACGAGTATGGTGTTCTTCTATCCATGGTGATGACAATCTAGCACTGGGTCTCGGGGTTTTGTAACGGATGGAGGTATGAGTCTGAAGAAGTTGTCCGCTGCCAATTGGCAATGAGAAATCTTTCTCCCTCAGGTGAGGAACGCGACGCGTTGAACCTCTCCCACGTGTAAAGTGGTTTCTTGGCGTGTTCACGACGGATAAATATTCCTCCGTGACGAAAGCGGTGAGAAGGAGTCGGAGTTCTGCCGGCTACCGTCTGATTGGGCAATATCGACCAAGCCACCAGCAGAACAACTATCCTTCAAGATCACCCGTATCAAGGGAGCAATATCCGCGGGCCTGACTGCTGGGTTTCAAGGTGGATGACGATATACCCCTGGCGCAAAGTCACTGGATTAATGGTTTCATTTTGCTGTCGCGTTCTTTCTGCTTTTCCTTCTAGATCAAGTCTCACCCCGGATTTAGTTATATGATGATCTTCTGTCACGACCGCTCGTCACCACCAGCCGTGGTGTTTACTTCGATATGATCTCTTCCGACCGGCCTAAGTCGGTGGAAAGCTTGGCCACTATCGCCTCGGTTTCCTCGCCTACGAAGCATACGTCCAGTCAGTATGATCCTAGCGGACGTTTCCCTCATCGGCCGCGTTATGATTCCAGGCGAAGCTCGACCGCTAGTTCGATTAACGGGGGCGTAGGAGGAGCTTTGGACTCTTCACTTCATCATGGATCAATAACGGAAGCTGGACACAATGGTTTGTTATTCTTGCTCTTGGGTCTTGTGTGTAAAGTAGCTTCGAAAGCAATGCTGATCTTCTATCTTAATTTCTTTATTTAGCCATTTCTACCCTTCTACAGCAACCTATAGTTCGCACTGGTCTGCTACCACATGCCTCTGCTTTGTCAAGCGGGTACAAACCGCCGACTACTCGAGATATCCCACCCGTTACTTTAACCAACATCCCTCACGTCGATCCCAAGGCATTTCAACCATACCTCTCCCAGGTTGGATCGTTATATGACACCTTACGCGGCTCAAAGGAGCATAGCGATGAAAGAGACCCGCGCCTATTTAGAACGAGCAGCACCTCCTCTCTATCTGGAGATGTCGATACACTGTTGAGTGGCCAATTGGAAAGGAGACTATCTGGCCAGCAATCATCCCTCACTCCGGTGTCGGAATATTCCACCCCGCGAAGAAGGTCTTCAGGCCAGCGGGCCCGGGGTCCGGCTACTGCCCCCTTGTCCACTATTCCAAGCGTTTACTTTGATGAGGATTTCCACCTTGAGAACCCCCGGACATTTGATATCGTTTCTGAGCGATCAGAGGTTGTCCGATCCCTTCCAAAGCCTTCTGATGAGAAAGCTCCTAATGGCACCTTCGATTCACGCCCATCTTCTAGTAGAAAGGCACTGGCAACAAATGCGATTTTGCAAGAGAAATTATCCTGGTATCTCGATACCGTGGAAATCCACCTTATTTCCTCCATTTCAACTGCCTCAACTTCTTTCTTCGCTGCCCTCGGTTCGCTACAAGAGCTCCATAGAGAAGCTACCGATTCTGTTCAAAAAATTCAAGCCCTGCGAAAAGACTTAGCAAAGCTGGACAACGATATGGCTTTGGGAGGCCTAAAAGTCGTTAGCCTACGCCGAAGGCGAGAGAACGTGAGAAAATTGGCCGACGCCGTTTGCCAACTCAAGGAAGTTATCACATGCGTGTCGCGATGTGAGCAAATGGTAGAAAATGGTGATATTGAAAACGCGCTAGATGAACTGGACAATGTTGAAAGACTTACGGCGGGTGAGCAGGTACTCACAAGTTGTGACAATCGCTTGAACGAGTCTCAACTACCGGAGACTCTCATAGATCTTCGAGGAATCAAAGCTTTGGAAGGGGCGTCACATGATTTGAGCCAACTGAGACATCGGATTGGGCTCGGGTATGAACGACAGTTCTTGGATTACTTGATAGGGGACCTAAGACGACATGTCGAGAGTATTCCTCCCGACCTCACATTACTACGACTAGGAGATGCGTCCCAACGTTCACGGAGGGGTCATCGAAGAGTCGTATCTGGTCTACCAA